AGTAAAAGTAAACTAAGAATAGTAGAATAAAATACAGATTTCCCAAACACTAACAAATTAAACCATGGGATACCTCTGTAATATGAATATGTATTCAATTGTTTAGGTACCGTGACAAGCCAATCATAGACATCTTATTGACTATGTACTCAAGTATCAGGTTCATAGCACTTGACCCTGCTGTAGAAGAACTGAATAAGTTCAAACAACTGGTGAAAGATAATGAAGATGAATGGAAGAATGTAGTCTTTGATTTCCATACTACCACAATTGAAGAGTATTTAGAAGTAAATGGAACGCAAACGTTTTGGTTTCATTGTTATGTCGCATTCTGCTTATTACTTCAAAGATGTTGAGACAACTGTAGTAGACTTGTATAACCGTCTGGTGAAAGGAGGAATGCTTTTTACCAAGATGGTTGACGGTATGTGACAGCGTTTGCGTTTCTTTGTAATTATACACCAATTCACATTTACACCTGTTTACATTTAGCATATCATACATTTCTCTAGCATTTTGATTAAGTTAGCAAGAAATCACGCTGGGCTCACGATTACTTTCTACCACATTTATTATGACTTATATCATGATTTTTTTTTCTCACCAGGCGGATGGGAAAAGTTTGGAGTGGAAGTTGGAGAGTATTTCACAAATCCAAAGTTACACTTCATTGGAACTCACTTCTTAGAAAATGTCATCAAACGTCGAATTCCAAACGCTAGATATGAAACTAAAAAGAGGGAACATACAGTGGACATTACCGACTGTTTTGATGAAGAATCTCAAGCTGGTGCATACCTAATTGATTTCACAACACTCATCTACAAGTTTCGAGAAACCTGCAAACCTGAAATAAAAAAGAAAATTATTAGAATATCTGGTTGAGTGTTGTCAGAAAGAAGGGGATAAGATATTATTAAGTACTGATGAAAGAGATTCAGTCATCTTCAAAGATTGATTTTGTTATCTTTAATTTGTATCTTTGATAGCTGCACAATAAATCACCAATACTATAACAGATTCAGCATACTTCTTTGTGCAGGTCAAATAAGTACCCTGGTTGTTTTCATTTTTAGCGTAATCGTTCTATAGTTACAATTTGCATTTCCTAATATGATAGGATAAATACCCAGTGCAATACCGCAAAACTTGGATACCACTTATCACAATGCATTATTGTGTGTGTTCATCACTGTCATCAACCCCATCCAAAATCTCGTCATTAACACAGATATGACGAGGAGGAAGCCATGTCATCTTGGCAGACTCCCATATTTAGTCAAACAGTTGTATCCCCTCCACAGTAACGGCACAGTGGAAGGAATCAATCGTTTTGATCAGCATGCACCCTGAGATTAGAACCCTTATAGCTTGCATTCCCTGGGCAATGTCAGTTTCCAACCATTACCAGGGGTCCCAGGTTGGTGGAGGCGATTCAGTATAACAGACGTCATACAAACGTGGTCATGGTCGATTATCAACTACAATTACTTATAAATGA